CAACAAATTATCAGTTTGTACAAGAGAGACATGTAGAAAGGGCAGTGCTGGATGGCGAATGTCGATGCTCCTTTAAAAGTGTCTGCTAAAGTTGTTTTTGTCGTCAAAGTTTTCCTTTTGCAAAAAAACTAGTAATCAGCATATTATGAAGCTACAGTTAATGTGTTTGATGTGTCCGATAAGATTAGGATGGACCACTTTACATAACGTTTTAATTTTAATAATGCACACACGTCCTCACTGGTGAAATTAACTCTCAACATGAAAGAGATGATGAGAACAACCGTCATACCCTACCGGGCGCGTTTCAGAAGCATTTCAGAAGCGGAGCGTCTTGCCTGCCGGCTCGCAGTTTTTGTTGATTTGGGCATATTTCCTGGACAGGCTACTTTGTACAGACAAAGTTAATAATAATTGTAATATCCCAGTTATAAACGACATGAATCAAAGATGTGCTGCTGTATTTTAGTGGTAAAAAAATGCATTCATCATCATAATTATTCTATATATAATGTACATTTCTCCTCCTACTTGAAAGACGGAGGGATAGGATCTGCAAAATTAGTTTGTGTGTGTGTGAATGCTATATGCTCTGACCGTTCCACTTCCTGCCTGCCCAACCTTACGTTACGGCTGCGCCGCGTCAAAAATAGGATTCATCCTAATTTTAGAGGAGCCCTGCGCCGAGGTGCTTCTGGGACGCTTCTGGGACGCTTCTGAGCCGTAACGCGCCGTGTGTGGTGGAAAAGCACCCATTGACTAGAGTGGCCGCGATCCCCGTCAGCACCGCGGCGCAGCCGTAACGCTCCCGTAACGCGCCGCAGACGGACCCGGTGGAATCTAGGGGCACCTGAATTCAAAGTGGTCGTGGAAGCTTTTGGTGAATACAAATCAATAATGTAAGAAAAAACAAGTGTATCACATCAACACATAAGATATCAGTGACCGTGAAGTAAATCAATAGAGACAGAGACATTTGTGCCACACGTGAAAATGCTTGGTGTGTAGCAATTTGCGTATCTGTATCTTTATGCTTCAGTCCATTAGGTTGCATTTGGCGTTTATCCCTAGAGTTCTTTGATGTTTTGTAAAACATCAAACGTTTTGACTGACACTGCATAACAACCCTGAACATTTTTCGCACATATATAAGTGTCCATCTATTCCAATGTGTTATTCAAAGGTAAGGCTCTCTCTCTCTCCACACAATGAACACACTGTTAGCACTAATTGCTAAATGACACTAGCCACTATAATAATACAACTTCAATCACGTAAATGTTACTGTAGGTTTACATTTGCAGAGAAACAAGTACATTGTTTTATTCATTTGTACTGTGCACTTTCACTCATACTTTGTGTTTTTGTTATTCTCATTGTTTATGAGAAGCATCTGCTTAATAAAAAGAACCTGAACTTGAGAAGAGAGGTTGAAAGGGGCAGGAGAGCAGATTGGGTATCTGCGAGTAGTTTATTTCAAAGAGGAAGGACTTGTGCTTATTTTGGACCATCTCCGCTTGCAGCTGTTAAGCATCTGGTCTCAATGATCATGCTGGAATGAATGAAAATCTTAAAAGCCATGAGGGAAAGACACCGTGAGCCTTTTTTCCCTCAAGTGACAAACAGGTGCCCTTTTGAAATAGGATAAGTAGGAAATACAGCAGCTTTGTTCTAGTTCTTAGCCATATCAGTTTTAAGAGTGAAACAAAAATAATCTGCTGTGACAAAGTATCAGGTGTTCAAGCTTGTGTTTTTTGTTTCTCAAATGTTCTCTCCATTATAATTTCTTTTTTTTAGAAATGTTTGGGATTGGTTTCATTTTGTTAGTTTTCAGTTCAGTCAGCCGGCTAACAAATGGATGTCAATACAGACTATGCACATGGTTGATGTTTTCCGCCTGATCTCTGACCTCATCACTCCCTGCAGCACGCAGCAGCACAGCAGAGATTTGTGGAGTAAAAATATTAAACTTCTCCCCCAGGGGATCTTACAAACATACATGTGGCAGCAACGAAACTGCCGTAATACTGACATGATACAAGCTTACTCATGAAATGCTACATGATCAAGTGTTAACAGCAAGTGTTTGCAGTATCACAGCAGGCCTGCATCAGAGCAAAGCGAGGATATAGAGGGGTCAGACGGCCTTATTGCATAGAATGTGTTAAATAAATCTAGTAGAGTATTTTAAAGCAACGCACCTTAAGAAGTCTTCTCCACAGGCTCATCTTCGTCCAATATGTTGCAGCCTTTTCCACAGAATATTAAATACATGATAAACCTCCTAGCTCTTCATGACATAAACAATTTTTCTTTAAAATAACATAAAAAAATTTCCCTTGATGAAACTTCACACATAATGAAACTCAGTATGGGTGTGTTGCTGATAATACTTTTTGATATGTTTTAATTTTGGCAAAAATGCTCTCTTTTTTCATACCCAGATGTTTCGAATGCGATCCCTGAGCCTGGAAGTGTCATAAATATATGACTCATGCTTGTGATTTCAACTTGGTTTTTTTGTCTCTTAACTTAATTCCTCTTATTTTCTATTTTGTTCTGTTTTTGTAGGCAATATATTGGACATGCCGCGAAGAGCATCCAGTAAGAAGGCATCAGAGAGTGGGAAGGAGGCGAGTGGCAGCACAGCTCCTGCTTCCTCCTCCGAGGGGATCCTGTGGTGTCACTGTTATCACCACTGCCCTGAAGACTCAGCCAATAACACATGCAGGTACTGTAAGAAGAGGAGAAATGCATAACAAATGTAACACACTTGCATCTGCGTTATTAGTGGTTATTTTTAAGTAGTTGCTTTACTTAGTGTCCTTGTTTTCCAGGACCGATGGCTGCTGTTTCACCATGGTGCAGGAGGAGGGCGGGGCATTGGTCGAGAAAGCAGGATGTCTTGCGCTGAGCGGATCAGAATTTCAGTGTCGGGTGAGTAGATGACTGTCGCAGCACACTACAAAAAACTGCTCTCTTTTTCCACCGATTATTTAGTGTCCTTTATCTCATATCTTATCTTAACATATGTTCAATTGACTATGACACAAAACAGAGAAAATACAATTCAATTTATGGTTTGAGCCATAACTTAATAAAAAGCTGAACATATATAATATATCATAATTACATTTCTGTCTTCCAGAACACGGGGAACCCACTTCAAAGGAGATCAGTGGAGTGCTGTTCAGACGAAGATTACTGCAATAAAAACTTGCATCCTACACTGCCACCACTTAAACCACCTCGTAAGTCTATCTATCATTCTCCTTTCATCCCTCCACTCTTTCTTTTCCATCAAACACAAAAAATAGCTATTTTCTCCAGTTGGCAAGTGGCATTGACAGTGTACAATAAGCAAAGACAGAGCAAAGAACTGTGATTGATGGTGTTATGGCACACAAGATTAAAGATATCATGATATGCTTAGAGAGACAAAGACAGCTTGATTTGGGGAGACAACGGGAGTTACTGTCAAACTGTCCTGGAGCTGGGTGTTAAGGGAGTACCGAGGTCTACTGTGCACAACACTATACTCCATGTGCAAGTTTCTGAGTCTTATTGTGTATTTGAGAGACAGTAAGCCTAGATTCCCAGAGAAATCACAAACCCCAGCAGACAGCGAGGGCAGTCATCAATCTGAAACCCTATCATAGTGGATCAGGAAGAGAATTCATCGACTAGGCTCAGGGCTTCCTCTCGCTTCGGACTGGGGCCTTACGGGAAACGACTGTGTGCCAGAAGAAAATGAAAAATTGATGAGTGAAATACGATTTGTATTTGATTAACTGTAAAGCGGTTCTTTTAAGTGACTTGTAAGGATGACTGATTTCTTCGTATACTTTTCTCTATTTCCTCTCCAGGTTTTGGGGATTTCAAACAATTTGATTTGATCCTTGTTAGTTTCTAGCCGACATTTCTAGGGCAGAAATGGACTCCAAACCAAACA